TCAGGGACATAGAAAGGGAAGGGATTGACTATTCTTGGGGGGGAAAGGGGTGTTGGAGAAGAGACTTGACAAAAATCGTGCACCTATGGATGAGGACAGTGGGTGGAAGAAACCAGGCGGAGGGTGGGGTGGGAACTGGGAGGAGGGGAGTTATGAGGGGGGGGGAACAAATGTAATAATCTGAACAATAAAGATTTAATTTAAAAAAATAAAAAATTAATGTAGATAAAATATTTGCATAATCTTTAATTAGGCAGAAGTTTGAAACTCATTCCTGCCCGGAAGCTCTGCCCGGCGGGCTGTCAGTGGGGCCTCGGCCGGGTCCCAGGCTGACCGACACTCCTCTCTCCCGTGCTCTCAGGACCTTCTCAACGACCTGTTCGCCACCGCTTTCCTGGCAGGCGCTGTGGCCTTTGCTGTGCAATCTCGCCAAACCATGCCAATGAACTACTTTGTTGCTGTGGTGAGTCTCCCTCGTGGGGCTTGTTCATCTGCTTAGAAATCACGTCTTTCTGGAGAACGGGTGTCTTCCCCGCCTCCGAAGGCCACAGAACGGCTTTTCACCGAATTGTGCGGTCCCAGCAAAGTCTGAAAGTAAAGCTGATCAGTGTTCCCAGTGGAGAAGCCGTTGAAATAAATTTGATGTGTAGGGAGCCGGCCCAGCTGCTGGCTTCCTCCTTTGGCTGCTGACCCAGAGGCCAAAGCTCCCACCTGACCCCCAGGCCGGGTTTAAAGGAAGAGGTGGTGGGTGACAGGGCACTGGGGAGGGGGGACTCAGTCTCTGGGGTCTGGCCATTTCAGGGGACACGGGGGTGTCCTTTACAGCACCTGCTTACCATCAGAAACCAGGAAGGAGCCCAGCCACTGTGCTTTGGTGGTTGAGCGTTGACCTATGAACCAGAAGGTTCAATTCCTGGTCAGGCCACGTGCCCAGGTTTGGGGCTTGATCCCCAGTAGGGAGCAGCCAATCAATGATTCTCTCTCCTCATTGATGTTTCTCTCTCTCTCTCTCTCTCTTTCTCCTCTCTCTCTTTCTCTCCTTCCTCTCTCTGAAATCAATAAAAATATATTTTTTACAAAAAAAAGAAACCAGGAAGGAAATAGGCCAACGTCGGGATGAAAAGCGAAAGTCACGAGGCTCCTCTTGTTTTCCAGGTCCTTATTGGTTTGGCTGCATTTTTCCCTTTAATCGATATATGCCTTCAAAGAAAACACTTCAGAGGCAAGAAGGTCAAAAAGAATGTGCTGGTTCCTCCTCAAAAAATGGCAGATGCTCCAAAGGAAGAGCCAAAAGCGGAGGCGGCAAAGCCAAAGGACGACAAAAAGGGAAAGCCGGCGCCGGCGCCAGCAGCAGCACCAGCGGGAGGAGCAGCACCAGCGGGAGGAGCAGCACCGGCAGGAGCAGCATCAGCAAAGCCAAGCAAGAAATGACACCAAGGAGAAGCCGGTGGTCAGACGTGGCCGTGTATTTTACAACGAAGCAGAGTCCCGCTGTCTTCCTTGTCTTCTTTCTCGATGATTTTCTTGTCCACTTAAATAACCACTTCTGCTCGGAAAAGAAATTCTCTTCAGATGGATTTTTTGTTCCTGCAAACAACGTTTACCGAAAGTTTTGGTGCCGTGAGGGGCTTGGGGGACCAGCATGTGGGTGACGCCGGCTGTCAACGCTGACCAGCCAAAGAGGCCAGAGGAAAAGGAGAGGACAGAAAACAAAAGGAGGCCTTTTTTTCATGTTATTTTTTATTTTTATTTATTTTAGAGAGGAAGAGAGAGACCCTAGGTCGGGGCACAAGGGCACATGGTTCACAGGTCGACGCTCAACAATTGAGCCAAGCTGGCCAGGCTCACGTTAATATTTTTATTTTTTACATATTTTTTTACTAATTTCAGAGAGGAGGGAAGAGGGAGAGAGAGAGAGAGAAAGAGACATCAATGATGAGAGAGAATCATTGATTGGCTGCCTCTTGCACTCCCCACTGGGGATCGAGCCCCCAACCTGGGCATGTGCCCCTGACCGGAATCGAACCTGGGACCCTTTACTCTGCAGATCAATGCTCTATCCACTGAGCCAAACCGGCTAGAACTGATATTTTTTAAAAGCATCCAGGTAGTTGCTAGGAGAGAAATAAGATTGCTGGCCTTCCTGATTCTTCGAAGTTTGGTATTGGTCCTCATTTGAAGCACCCTCGGGAGGAGGGCAACAGGGGAGTGGCACCTCCTCAGGGCTCAGGGCCTCTGCGAGCCGGAGTCAGGCTGGAGTGGGCCAAGCAGGATGGGCCCAGAAGGGACTGGGGGGCTGGTTGCTGGGGAGATGGCCAGTGGTCCCTGGGACCTGCAGCATCTCTGTCCAGTAAAGACCTGAGCATCAGCCCTGAGCATCAGCCGGGCCCCAGAGCCACAACTCCCACATGCACGCACCCCCCAACCCCTGCACCAGGGTCAGGGCCTCATTCTCACCAGACAGTCCAGCCATTTGGCAACTTGGCAGGAGAAGAGCCACCCTCATGAAAGAAAACTGAGGTCCCAAACTGATGCCTGAGGAGCTAGGAGGGGCAGGGGGTGGAGGGCGCATGAGCTCAGCCAGGAACCACATGAGAGAGAGGCGGGGAGGGTCAGCGGGGCCTGGGCTGCCGGGGGAGGGTAAAGACTTTGGCCTCTGTCCTAAGGGCCATGGGGACCCCTGAAGACTCAGGGTGCGCGTCCCAGTGGCAGGAGATGACACAGTCGGCTGCTGCGGAAGAGGAGGAGGCTGCCTGTCAGGCAGGTGGGAAAGATGGGCCACTGGAGCAGGTCCCTGGGGAAGCAGGAAGAGCTGGTCTCTACCCTCCAAGGGCACCTCTGTAGCCCTCACACCACCCCCTGCTGGTCAGGTACGGTAAGGCAACCCTACTGAAAGGAGGAAACCCTACAGGGATTCACAATCTAGAGAAAAACTAAAACATGGACACCATCCTGCCGAATGACCCGGAATTACATCCCCCCAGATACTTAGCCAAGAGGACTGATATACTAGAATGTCGTAAGAGCCAAAAAGCTAAAAAAAAAAAAAAAAGCCCAAATGTTCCAAAGGAGGTACACTGTGCTACGTTCACACAATATACTACTACTCAGCAACAGAAAACCAGCTCCTGGCACATGACAGAGAATGGCGATAAAAGTAAAAGATCATGATGAATCTCACTGAGTACTGAGTGGAAGAAACCAGACCCAAAAGGAAGACACACGGCCAGTGTGGCTCAGTGGTTGAGCATCAACCCATGAACCAAGAGGCCACTAGTTTTGATTCCTGGCCAGGGCACAGGCCCAGATTGCAGGTTTGATCCCCAGCAGGAGGGTGCAGGAGGCAGCCAATCCACACTTCTCATCATTGATGTTTCTCTCCCTCCTCCTCCCTTCCTCTCTGAAATCAACATTTTTTTAAAATAAAAAGAACATACCATATGATTCTATTTGGAAGTTCAAGAACAGGGGAAAATACAGTGAAAGAAATGGAAACGGTGGTTACCTCAGGAGGTGGAGAACGGGGATTGATTACAGAGCATGAGGGGGTTTGGGGGGCATGAGACAGTTCTGTATCTTTATTTGGGGAACTGGTTACACAGGTGAATACATCTGCCAAACCTTTGACTGCATGCTTCAGATCTGCGCATTTCACTGTATGCAAATCTTACCTAAAAGTGTAAGGTGACTACGACTGTGCTCAGAATTCAGCAGAAAAGGGTGGAGCTTGTTAAACTCCTCTGTGTGGCCATTCCTCTCACTCCTGGAGGCAGGTATCTGAAACGGAGTTTTTTCACATCCCAACTTTACACATTGAGGAACTAGGAAAAAAAAGAGCAAACTAAACCCAAAGCTAGGAAAAAAAGAGGAAACAATAGACCAGAGATAAGTAAAAGGAGAATAAAGGGGGAAAATAAAATCAACAAAACCAAAGATTAGGTCTTTGAAAATATCAACAAAATTAACAACCTTTAGGTACTGACAAAGAAAAAAGAGAACACAAATAACTAAAATCAGAATGAAAGCAATGGTTACTACTACTGACCATACAGAGAAAGGATGCTACGATAATTCTATGAATGAAGATATGACAAGTTGATGAAATGGAAAAATTCCTAGTAATACACAATTACCCTGAACTCACAGAAGAAAAAAAATAGAAAATCTCAATACACAACAAGTGAAGGGAGAAAATTAGTAGCCAAAAACATTTCCCAACAAATAAAAGTCCAAGGCCAGACGACTACACTGGTGAATTCTACCAAACATTTCAAGAATTAGTAATTCTTCTCAAACTCTCCCCAAAACTAGAAGGGAATACTTTTTTTTTTTTCCTTGAGGAAGGGAGAAGGATAGAGAGAAACATCGATCAGCTGCCTTCTGCACACCCGCTACTGGGGATGTGCCTGCAACCAAGGTACATGCCCTTGACCGGAATCAAACCTGGGACCCTTGAGTCTGCAGGCCAACGCTCTATCCACTGAGCCAAACCGGTCAGGGCAAAGGGAATACTTCTTAACTCATGCTATATGCCAGCATCACCCTGATACCAAAACTAGATAAAGATATCACAAAAAAACTAAACACCAGTATCTGTTATGACTGTAGATCCAAAAAATTCTCAAAACAAAATACTAGCAAACCCAATCTACACCATGATGAAGTGGGGTTTATTCCAGAATAACATCGCAAAGCTTTTAAAAACTGACTGGACATTGGAACCACAGGCCAATGGTGGGTAGGCCTGAATCTAACCAGATTGTCTGCTTTAGCAACAACAAATCTCTATAAAAGTTAAGCAAACCCAGAATTCAAAACATAATGTTCAATATTTGCCAATGTTATTTACGATAAGGGTTTAATCTCCAACATTTACAGGAAAACTCATACAACTTAACAAAAAGAAGATAACCCAATCAAAAAATGGGCAATGGACCTAAATAGACCCTTTTCGAAAGAGGACATACAGAAGGCCGAGAGACATGTGAAACATGCTCAAGGTCACCAATCGTCCGAGAGATGCAAATCAAAACGACCATCTCACACCTGTCAGAATAGCTGTCATCACCAAATCAACATAGGACAAGTGCTGGCGAGGATGCAGAGAAAAAGGAACCCTCCTTCACTGCTGGTGGGAATGCAGACTGGTACAGCCACTGTGGAGAACAGTATGGAGTTTTGAGTTTCCTCAAAAAACTAAAAATGGAACTCCCATTTGACCCAGTGATCCCACTTCTAGGAATACATACCAAGAAACTGGAAACACCAACCAGAAAGGATATATGCACCCGAGACAGAGATGCATAGATCAGACTGTCAAAACTCAGAGGGAAGGTAGGGGAGGGTGGTGGTAAGGGGGAGAGAGAGATCAACCAAAGGACTTGTATGCGTGCATATGAGCCTAACCAATGGACACAGACTCTAGGGGGGTGAGGGCACGAGCTCGGGGGGAGGGGCAGTGGGGGGAAAAGGACACATATTTAATACTATAATCAATCAATAAAAAAACATAATGTTCAAAATGTCCGTTATACAATCGATAATTATTTGACATATGAAGGACTAGAAAAAATCTCAACGTCTTATGAGGGAAAAGACAACGAACAATCTCAAGAATGGCCCAAATGAAGAAAGAAAAAAAGACAAGAATTCCACAAATGTTAGGAGGATCAGAGCAGGACTTGAAAGAAAATATTAGAAGCACGCTCTAAGAATAAATTTTAAAGAATAAATAGAACACATGGAAGGAGAGAACGTCTTAGTGGAGAAATAGAAGATATAAAAAATAATCAAATGGAAATTTTTAGAACTGAATATAATAACCACATTTTTAAAACCGGACGGGCTTAGGAGCAGAACGGAGATGACAGAGGAATGAGTGACCTTGCTGATAAATCAGTAGAAATGATCTGATCTCAACAAAAGAGAATAAAAAGATGGAAAGAAATGAACAGAGCCTCAAGGACTTTAGAGACAGTACCAAAAGGTCTAATTACCTGGAATTCGTGTAGGAGAGAAGATAGACTGTAGATTAAAGAGGAAATTAAAATGGAAACCATGCCCACCGGGCGTGGCTCAGTGGTTGAGCACTGAGCTATGAACCAGGAGGTCATGGTTCGATTCCTAGCCTGGGGTTGTAGGGTGGATCCCCAATGTGGGGCATGCGGTGGGCAGCCAATCAATGATTCTCATCAATGATGTTTCTATCTCTCTCTCCCTCTCCGTTCCTCTCTGAAATAAATAAAAGTATATCTTAAAAAATATAATAAAACTAAAACTACAAGCTATTCAGAAATGGGTAAAAACTAGGGCAATATTTTTGGCATGTGTCTGAAATGGTCCTCAGAGGAAAAAATGTATAACTTTAAGTGTCTTTATTAGGAAACAAGAAAGACTTACATAAAGGATAACACAAATAGTAAAAATTTAAAAAAAAAAACAACAACAACCAAAAACCTGCAAGTCCATTCTATTTGTGAAAACAAAGGCAAAAACCCAAATAAAAATATTACCTAAATGAACCCAGAGATTTAGCAAAAGAGCAAACACCCTGACCAAGAAAGGCACATCCCACAAATGTAAGGATGGTGAGCATTAGGAAAAGGGCCACTGTCGCTCACGACATGTATAGATTAAAGGAGAAAACAGCACGTTCTCAAAGAAAGAAATCTGTATGGCAAAAACGCAAGGTGAAAGATAAGTGGCAACTCAGGAAAAAATATTCATAACTCACATTTCAGAAAAAGGACTAATTTCCTGGCAAGTGTGTTCTTATGCGTGTGAAAAGTCAATTCTCAGAAAAGGAAATGCAAATGGCGCTCACACATGTTAAAAAAAAAAAAAAAGAGTGTTTGTGCCACTCATAACTAGAGAAATGCAAATGAAAACTGCCCAGAGAGACCTTGGTTTCTAAATACCATCCTCCGATAAAGAGCACCAGGGCTTCTTGGAGAATTGGCGGTTCTAGGCCTAAGATGGGGAGAATACAAAATGAACCTGAAGCATCTCACAGAGGCAGAAAATAAGGAAATGAAAAAAAAGGGGGGAGGGGAGGGAAGCATGTTAGGTACACATGAGCCCGCCTACTGGCCAAAGATGGAACAACAACCAATAAAATGAAGTCTGATAGTAGTTCATTTTAATCCCAAAAATAAAATAAATAAACTAGTGGAGAAGAACGGAGAATATTCCTTCCACAAGGAACGTGAAAGGAATAGAGCCACCCTCCTCCAATCCACAGCAGGTATTTCATGCTGCCATCATCTGTGACAGGTTCTGGGCTCGGGCTGGTCCCCAGGGAGCTCACAGCCCGTGGTGGGATGGACAGAGGCCCGGGGTCTCCAGCCACCTCAAGCAGGGGCACCCACCAGGTTCTCCTTGCCCTCTCCTGGGCCCTCTCAGTCATTCTGGGCTGCCACCCTATTTTGTTTTGGGTGCCCTTTCAGTTCATGGAGATGTAAAATAAAACACACCCATGTTAAAAGTACTGTTTGATGTGTTTTGAGAAATGTATGTCCCCGAGTAACCACCACTCCTGTCAAAATAAAGCGCATTTCCAGCACCCGAACAGTTCCCTCAAGCCCCGACCCCGGGTACGGACTGATTTCTGTCACGTATTCTAGGATTTCATAAAGGTGGGATCATACAGCATGTACTGTTTTCAGTGTGGCTCCTTTCATTCAACATCATGTCTGCAAAATGCAGCCATATTGTTGCACTCACCAACGATTTATTCCTTTGTATTGCTGAGGTGCTTTCCCTGGAAGGGATGTCCCTCAGTTAGCTTATTCCTTCCCCTGCTGATGAACCGACGGGTGGTTTCTACGTTAAGCTTTTAAAAATAGAGCTGCGGACGGACATTCATGTACAAGCTTCTGTAGAGACCCGTGCTTTCCTCTCTCTTGGGTAAATACCTACAAGAAAAATAGCTGGGTCCCCTGATAGACCTCTGTTTAACTTTTCTTTTTTTAAATCCTCACCTGAGAATATGTTTATTGATTTCAGAGAGAAGAGAAGGGAGAGTGGGAGGGAGAGAGAGAGAGAGAGAGACATTGGTTGCTTCCCCCCAACCAGGGATCGAACTCCAAACCTAGGCATATGCCCTGACTGGGAATCGAACCCACAACCTTTCCGTGCACGGGACGATGCCCAAACAACTGAGCCACACCGGGCAGGGCTGTTTAACTTTTCTTGTTGTTGTTTTAATATATATTGTATTGACTTCAGAGAAGAAGGGAGAGGGAGAGATAGAAACATCAATGATGAGAAAGCATCATTGATTGGATGCCACCTGCACGCCCCCTACTGGGGATCAAGCCCACAACCCAAGCACATGCCCTGACTGGGAATCCAACCCTGACCTCCTGATTCTTAGGTCGACCCTCAACCACTGAGCCACGCCAGCTGGGCCTGTTTAACCTTTATATCAGCAGTGAGTGAAAGTTCCATCTGCCATACATCCTCACCAGCACTTAAATAGTAGCATCCCTTTCTATGAAGCCATTTTAACAGGTGTAGAGCAGTGTCTCCTGGTGCCTTTAATTTGCATTTCTGGATGTTATGGTGTTGAGCATCTTTGCACCCATGTGTTTATTAGATGTCTGTACACTTTTGTTGAATTGTCTGTTTGAATCTTTGGCCCCTTTTACAATCCAGGTTGTTTTCTTATATTGAGTTGCAATTCTGAGCCACGTTTTAATTAACAGAGATGAGAACCAGGTGGTCCTTTGCTCTAACCCCTCCCCTCCCTGGCCTGCTCCCAGGGAATGTGGGGTAAATCCCAAACTCCAGGGCCGGGGCCTGCACAATGTCTCCTCCCGCTGGTCCCTAGCTCAGTCCTTTCTGCCTGGCCGCCCGCTGAACCTGCCCGACATCTATTACCAGCGACCACCTTATTCGGGATTCTCCGGGCACAGTTGGTGTCTACCCACACCCCCACACCCCCACAACCAGCGGGGCTTCCCCTCAGGTCGGGCTCCCAGTTCTGCTGCTGAATGAATACATAGGTAAATGAATGCCTCTTACCTAGCTGGAGAGGTCGGCCGAGTCTTCTCTGAGGACGCATTGCTGCTTTCTGGTCACAGAAGACTAAAGGACTGATCGGATCGGATAACACGGCGCGGAAAGCACTCCCCCCCCCCACCCCACCCCCGCAGAGGGGATAGCGCGTGCAAAGGCCCGGCTGCAGGAGGGAGAGCCTGGTTTGTGTAAGAAACCGCGAGGAAGAGAAGGGGGAGAGGGCAGCGAGAGGTGATGTTTTGCCCTACACCGAGGCCCTGAGCGAGGTGGGGAGCTCCCACGGTTCCCATCTGCTTCTTCGGAACAGCGCAGGGAGGAGACAGGAGTGGCCTGAGGTCCAGCGGAGGCCTTGGTGGCGGTGAGAAGTGGGCGGGGATGGATGGTAGGAGGTGAACGCGTAGGAGGTGAACGTGTAGGAGGTGAACGCGTGTGACCCTCGTGGTGGGACAGAGGCTGAGCGAGAACCAGGCCACC